AGACTACAGTCTCCGATCTAGCTTCAAATGTCAAACATTTACCTCCGACTTCGAACCCATTTGGTGTTAAAGCGAGGAGCTTTCACGTTAATTCTATTCCGTCGGAGTTTAGAGCGTCGATGGTTTCTCCGGCTGGATTTGCGGCTCAGGATTACGCCGCTTCGTATGAGAGTAACGACGTAGGAGATTCTGAGAGTGTTGGTAATGTTAGTAGCGGCGGTGATGGGCTCGCGATATCTGAGCTTGGAATATCTCCGGAGATTGTTAAAGCCTTGAAAGGTAGAGGAATCGAGAAACTCTTCCCTATTCAGGTATGCTCTTCTGATTCATTTGTTTATCAAATTGCTGAATTAGATCATTTGAATTTCTCTGTTTTTGTACTGAGATTTGATGTTTGTTGGTTTCAATAGAAAGCTGTGCTGGAGCCAGCGATGCAAGGTCGAGATATGATCGGTCGTGCTAGGACAGGAACGGGAAAGACTCTTGCTTTTGGGATTCCAGTCATTGACAAGATCATCAAATTCAATGCCAAACATGGGTTTGTTAAATTCCTGGATTTGAATTTGTGTTTATAATCTTTTGAGGTTTCAGAGATTTACGTTTTATTCGGTTCTTATGTTACCTTTTGATGTGGCAGACGAGGGAAGAATCCTCTTTGTTTGGTTTTGGCTCCGACAAGGGAGCTTGCACGCCAGGTTGAGAAGGAATTTAGGGAATCTGCTCCGAGTTTGGATAGTATTTGTCTCTATGGAGGTACACCGATCGGACAGCAAATGAGGGAGCTTAACTATGGTGTTGATGTTGCGGTTGGCACTCCGGGTCGTATCATTGATCTGATGAAAAGGGGAGCTTTGAATCTATCAGAGGTTCAGTTTGTGGTTCTGGATGAAGCTGATCAGATGCTTCAAGTTGGATTTGCCGAGGATGTCGAAGTAATATTGCAAAAGTTGCCTGAGAAACGTCAGAGCATGATGTTTTCTGCAACAATGCCGAGTTGGATCAAATCCCTCACCAAAAAGTACCTGAATAATCCTTTGACAATTGATCTTGTGAGTATCATCATACCTACTTGTGTTTATATCTGAAATTGCTCACAATCCCTAAGAATGATCTTGGTTTCGCAGAGTTGTTAACGAGGTGTGACATTGCTTTTGTGAAATATAACTTCTATGGTATCTATGGCCTAACTTTGATGTGTTATATAGGTTGGGGATTCTGATCAGAAACTTGCAGATGGAATTACGATGTATTCTATCGCAGCAGATTCTTATGGAAGAGCATCCATTATTGGCCCTCTTGTAACGGTATGCTTTCTTTACTTTGCTTTTAAACCCATTATCTGTATGTGGATGTGATCGATATGCTTTCTTTTAGTTTCCAGTCATGTATGGCAAGATTTGATAACACCTTTCCTTTTGCAGGAGCACGGTAAAGGAGGAAAATGTATTGTTTTTACCCAAACAAAACGGGATGCTGATCGCCTTTCATATGGATTGGCAAAAAGCTTCAAATGTGAAGCGTTGCACGGGGACATATCCCAGAGTCAGAGAGAAAGAACACTTGCTGGTTTCAGGGATGGGAATTTCAATATTCTTGTTGCAACTGATGTTGCTGCTCGTGGACTTGATGTACCTAATGTCGATTTGGTGAGTTGAAATACACTTTTTCTTGCTCTTAACGAGTTCTGTTTCTCATCTTATTAACCCATCTTGTGATTGTGTGATAGGTAATTCATTATGAGCTTCCTAACAACACAGAGACGTTTGTTCACCGAACGGGGCGAACAGGTCGTGCTGGAAAGAAAGGAAGTGCTATTCTCATCCACGGTCAAGAGCAGTCCAGGGCTGTAAAAATGATTGAGAAAGAAGTCGGAAGCCGATTCACTGAGGTATGAATCTGTGACTCATTTTGGCCCTCTTTGTTTCTTTTTGAATGTCTGGACTAAATTTGGGTTAATGCAGCTTCCAAGCATTGCTGTGGAACGTGGAAGCGGTAGCATGTTTGAAGGAATAGGTGGTCGATCTGGTGGATCCTATGGAGGGGGTGGTCGTTCAGGCGGATCAAGCTT